TTTTGGTTAACAATAACAACCCTGGTGTCAAGAGGTTTGCTCCTGTAGTTGTTTGTTTTGCCGTTTAGGTTTCATTCCCACTCACAATCTTTTTGTATACAAATAAATCACTGTACATAGTTCCCCTCATGTTTTCCAATCAATTAGCAAATTTGTCAGTTGTGTCAAAGCACAGTGATCTGGTGGCCAGCTGACCGAAAATAAAATGAAAATAAACAAACATATTTGATATTTTAAAACGTATGTTTATCATCAATTCTTTTAATTATTTCATTATTAGGACATCAATTTTTTGGTTCTACATTTTGGTTTATGCAGGGATTTGAGAGTTTATTTTAATAAATATCAAAAATATAAAAGGTGTGCATTATAGCTGACACCTAGATGAGCACTTTATAGTTGGTTTTATGACTGTAAGTCATTCTCTTCAAATGCTATTGAAGTTAGAAACGTGTATACCAATGGTGTATGTAACTTTAAAGATGGTACCTAAATTTGTGAATATCGAATGTACAGTACAACGTCAAACCAATTTTATGCCGGTCAATATTAGTGGTAAATGCTGTCACTCTATTAGTTATATATTACTTACCTGACCAGGCCATTTGGTCATTATATGGGTATTGAGTGAGTGGGTGGGTGGGAATACATGCAAACTTGAGGCCACTGTGTCAAATTTACTCAAGCTGATCATTAAACTACACCAAACTCTGACTCTAATTCAAGTCAGTTAGGCTTCTCTTGTTTGGTCAATACTGAAAACTCAGCACAAAGTTCACTGTCAAGATGTTTATTAATTTCTCGTGACATTACATCAAGAGTTCAGTACAACAGAGCACTATTGCTGCTCTTCTTTGGTATAGAATGTTACTTGATGCTTTTCTTCCACTTGTGCAGACCCAGCAATGGTGTACATCAGATTGTGCCAGTTAATGTAATCACCGAGTTTGTATTTGGTCTTTGCCTCCATGTAGGTCTTAATCTGACGGGTGGTCAGGACTTGTCCATGCACATGCACATCTGCTATGAAACCTGTGAAGATAGAGGGTTGGAGGAACCCTCCATCATATTGGGTCTGATACTGGCCAAGTGCGATGACAGGGTTTCCTTTAAAAGATACTTTAGTGCCCACTGCCTTCTTAATACTGGCTACTTCATTCACAAACATCTGTGCAAGACCACTGTTGGCATCCCAGGTCGCACACACTGAGTTCCACTGATTCATGTTAAACGTCAACCCTTTGAATTCAGCCTGTGTGTTATGAATAAACATCTGGTACTGCTTGCTGTCAACTAACCAACGTAAAGAAAAGTCTTGAGGGTGGGACGGTGTAGCCAGAGAAAAAAGACATGGGCTGGGTGGGACTCGCTTGTTCAGTGTAGAATCGCAAACACACGGTGGCTGCAGACAGTTCCATGGATTAATTTGGGTGCAGCTTCACCCAGTTGCTGATGGTCAGCTCTGGGAACGTGATGACCTTCTCCCTCAAACATTTTCTGTCTTTCTTCGGCTCTATGGTTGATATAATAAGATGTTTTCAACACTTAAGGCATTAAAGACTCTTTAATGTGAAGTGACACTGGTTGACGGCCTAGCGGAAGCCCCGGCTTAGCGTGAGCTGAGGCCAGGCTAGAGTGAGCAGAGGCGGCGGGGTTGAGAATGGCGCAGACGGCGGATCCGACGAAGGAGTGGCAAGCACGTGACGACCCCGGGCTTCATCCACGGTGAAAGCCGATCCGGCGATCCACAGCACTAAGTTGATGTATTCCCTCAGCGACCAGCA